CGATTACACCTCATTAATAATATGAGGCTTCGGCTTCAATTTGTTAGTTTCAATATACTGGGCGATTCCAAAGTTCCCGTTTCCGAGAACTTAAACACAGCAACAGGTGGATCAGAGAAAATAATTCTGTTCCATCCTCTTCATACCAATGTTGATCAGCATCGCCAATGAAAGGCAACAGTTTTTCATTCATTCAATCAACATACTGCTATTTTTTCCTTGTTTCACGTTTGATACAAAAAGTTACATTAAAGTCATGTGAAACAGTCACCCAAACGGTTAGTCCCACTGACTGAGGTACAGATAACATACAAAACTGTGATTTCGTACGAAACCCTTCAGACAAAGCGAACTTTCGTCTGGGAAAGTAATATTTTTTATGGAAATTCGTACTTTTTTCGTTGAATATCCAGGTGAAGTTCAATTCCCCTATCGCGATTATATTCTACTATAACTTGATTCAAAGATTACCTAGAATGGTCTATTATTTTATTTTTGGGTTGTCTGTGAAATTAACTTCGTGAAGTCAAATACGCTCGTGCAGTTTCGCGTCGATTCGTGCCATCATTCTCTTTTACGGAATCTACCACTGTTCCCTCCATGATTTCAGCAGACGGTCTTAATGAGCGTGGCTAAATGGCTAAGTTAATAAAATAAATATATGGACCAAGAAAACTATTAGAGCAACCCCTTTGACCATTAGGCTGCCTATTCGTTAATAAATGTAGCCTATTTCCATTAGACGACCTCACAAGAAATTCCTATCAAATTCAGTATATCAAGTGATTCTTCATATAAACAAGTTAGATTAACCTGCCCAATATATTGACGCAGAAACTTCTGAATCGCACGGTACAATACAGTAATCAATTTTATGGCTCTAAAATATCTGTTTTCAGAAAAAAGTAGAACCCTATTTAAAGGTCGTATTGTTTGAAGCGTTTATGGAAGTCACTTTCCAACTAAAAAAGCTAAGTAGTAAATAACAAGAAACGAAAGGCGTTATACTGCCTTTCAAATGTGCTTGCAATACTTTAAGCAGCCCTATCAAACCTGCCTCTATAATTTGTTTATTGTCAGTAAAAAGATATAAAGTTATGATCGTATCAACTCGTGCTTGAACATATGAAACACCACTCACAAACACTGTTAAAGAAAAATAAGGACACAGCAAATATACTTACAAATCAAGGGGGTAGAAGAACAGGATGACATATTTGCCTTTGTAATCTTTGAGGGCAATCTGTTTGAATTGACCATTCACCACGGCGGTTCCCTTGAAGTCGGGTGCTGGCATTCCAGGCTGGAGCATGATTGCGAGGCGGCTGCTAGAACTGTGACGAAGCGAGGAGGACTACGATATGAATCGACTAACTTTTATACGTTCAGAGGCTTGCAGGCTGATCCACTCATTGCGAAGGCGCCTTCGATGACACACTCGTCCTGTTGCGGCCCCTTCCCCCCTCTCTGTTCTGCGGTGAACACACGCCGTGTCTAGGTCAGCATCAAAGGGCACGGCGGCAGACCCCACCTGTCTAGCTTGACATCAAACACACCTCAGCGCTGATTCACATCACACTCCCAATCATGACGAAGCGTTGCTAGCAGCAGATCAGCAGCCGAAGACACGTACTTT